TTAGTAACAAACTTCATCTGAGATTTTTGTTTAACATCCAGATTATTCAATCTAGTAATATTGGATATAATATCATCCGGAGATTCCATCCCATCCAAGTTCACGTTTTTCAAGAGCAACCTAGGGTTAAGCTTTTTAGCCTCACTAATTGCATATTTGGATGCTAACTTTTCACCTACTGTGTTTTAATACTTCATCCTACATTTGCAAACCTGCACTTCCAAACCCTTACATGAAAAAGCCTTTTCACTCAAAATTTTTATTCATACACTTCTTTCCAATTACTAAACGACATTTTGGCACCACTGGTCCGAAACTGTTTAAGATTTCAACATTCATACATACAATTGCAGTTGCAGTTTTTTGTTTTGATTTCAGTGTATAATCAGTCGCACCATCGGTGATGGTTCATGGTACGCTCAATATATCCACGTATTTGGGGGTCAGTGCAGATTTAACGTGTACACGACAGTGTAATATGTAATTCTGCGCAAGAAAGATCTTGGAGGCAGCACTTTTTATACGGAAAATCCATTTTTCACAAATAACACAACAAGCTTAAAACAACAAGTGACCACAAAACATAGACTACAGTAACGTTGGAAAAGGAGAATAGACCAAAGAAGAATTGACATTTGAAATTAGTGTCTCACAATGTTAGTGATGGGAGAATACGTTTGCAATCAGCGGAATGCAATGGAACGGTTAAAAAATATGAATTGAATCGTTTTTACGTTATTTCGACTGACAGACTGGAATATCTGCTCTGTTTCTGTACATATATTTTTTGTGGCATTGTTGCATAAAGCAGTTTGTTCATGAACCAGTTGCTAGAACTGAACGCAACTTAATGATAGGAGAATCGAAAGCCTGAGATTCGCTTTGCTTCTGTGGCTCAGAGATATAGTGTTTTCTTCTGATAAAACTAGCGCCGTTTTTGTGTTTAAAATACTCAACCTTAGTTAATACCGTTGATCCTAAATTTGTTTCCAAAATAACATTACACAACTCTCATGCCGTGTCGCGTGCAGTAATATCAATGAAGCATATTTTTCATTTCTTTGTCCTTTTCCGTGTTATATGATGAATCATCGAAAAAAAAATAGTTAACCACGAGCAAACAGCACGACTGCATTCAAAGATGGAAATCAAAACAGAAGACAGTAGACAACACCAGCTCGAGTGCTTCAAGTTCTGTATGTTTCTAAAATGAGCGAAAACTAGTTCAGAATGCGCATCAAAAAAACATGAATATATCAATTGGTACTGTTATAAGAATTTGGAATATGCACTAGTACAACACTGGTTTCACTGCAAGAAAACGCGACTGAATAGCTTGGTAATATTTAACAGTTTAGACCATACAAGACTGATTTTAGTAGCTTCCCTTTTGGCTACTTTCTCAGATATAATCTCATCTCACTTCAAGTTGCCTCACATGTCAGACATTTTCCACTTTCCCCCGCGCCCCTGGGGCCTGTGGTTCTCGATATTTGCCTTCCAAAGATTTTTGACCCGCTTGACTAATAGTTATGTTTATATATTTTCTGGGGATTTTCAAATCTTTCAAAGATTTTTCAGACCTTCGGATGTTCTAGAAATTCATCGATATCAATAAAACACTTTCATACAACACTTAAACCTAATTTCGACACATGTTTCATGCCTGAAAGATGGAATTCTTATTTGACTGTTCCTTAGTTTCTTTTGGTACATGAGAAAAATCACTTTCCCTACTTGCAGTGTGCCGAGTCATTCAGTTATTTTCGTGCACCGATCAGTATAAATAAAATGTCCCCTCACTATCCTAGTCGGGACTGAGTGATGTGTCATCTGGACAAAACAACACTGTTGCCGATTTTTGTATGCTTTAGCGACTTTTTTTCTCCGCTTGTCCGCTGGCTATTTCCAGCAACATTTTTGGCTACATTGGTAATTCCATTAAAGTTCGCCTTTTTTACAGTTACAAGTACTGAACGCAACTAGTGATTATGCTGCGCTATCTCCCCATTCAACATACAATGGAAGTAGGAAGCTTCCTCTGTAGTTATTTTTTTTTTGTACCGAAGCAGCCGGGTCTGTATGGCAGAAGAGGACTTGATCGCCGACGGCCCGCCGGTGTGAAAGAGACCCAAGACTGTTTGCCCTTCTCTGGACAACATCCAGCAAAGATAATATAGTCGGGGCGGCGGCACCCCAAACCTGTGAGTAATATTCGAGGCTAGGCCTTTTCTGGGCCTTGTACAGAGTGAGGTCATGCGGAAGTACTTTTTAGCCCTAAACACATAGCCTAGCTTTGTCCCAGTAGCTGTCCAAACTGAAAAGATGTGTTCGTGCCAGATCAAGTTCTCCGTGATCTGGACTACGACCAGTCGAAATGAACGGCTCTTTGGCAGAACCCGGCCATCCATCGGAACCGTATGAGCGCTAGGATGCTTTTTGTTCGTCACGGTACAGTACTGTGTTTTGGAAGCAGTACACTGTACAAGATTGTTGCGTCCCCAAGCAGTGATAACATCCAGGTCTCTCGTCAGAGAGTAAGTCGCCGCTAATCTTCTTTTTTCCAGCTCAGCTGCAGAGATCAGCTTGTCACTCTGAATTCCTGCATGTAGAGTGCTGTCATCAGCGAAGCTGTGGATCGGGTTAATCGTGCAGGAAAGGAGGAGGTTGATATACAAGAACCGTGTCGGAGCCAAGAACAATCCCTTGGGAACACCCGCGTTGACCTTGCGGGATGAAGAGGAGATCCCGTCAATTACGACGGATACCTTGCGGCCAGAGAGAAAGTCAGCCACCCATCTGCAAAGCTTTTCTGGAAGGTCATGGGATGGAAGTTTGCATAAGAGGGCAGCTTGCCACAGCTGATTGAACGCTTTCGTGATATCTAGACTCACCGTAATACTCGATTAGCATACTCCACAATTGCGTGACGTAAGCTAGGAGGTCCCCTGTGGATCGCTGGTGTCGGAAACCATACTGCCGGTCTTTAATCAAGCCGACACGTTCGAGGTAGTCCAGAAGCTTGCGATTCATGCACCTCTCATCACCTTACTTATAACAGAAAGCAGAGCTATATGCCTGTAGTTGTAAGGGTCGGTTTTAGATCCTTTTTTTGGGATGGGTTAGACATGAGCAAATTTACAGTTTTCTGGATTCATAAGATATCTGGAAGAGACGCGAAAGAATTGGAGCAAGCTCCGCTGCACAACTCTTCAGTACAATGAAGTCCGGACCAGAAGCTTTGTTGGGGGGCATCCATAGTAGAGTTGGCAGCAAAGATCTTGGCAAGCAATTCAGCCTTGGCCTTCGAGTCAGTTACAATCGTTCCATCCTAACACGTAAGTGGTGGAAGGCTACTGTGTGAGAAGTTCTTTTCAATCTGCTTGGCCAGCGTCCAGAAAGACCGACTGCCATTTGGCTGCGACATTACCTTGCAAAATCAGACATATCTTTCATCATTTTCAAAGAAATTGTACAAAATCTCCAAATTTGTGAAGTTAGCGAGTTTTACTTCATACGTTGTTACCAAACATGCCCAAATCATCAGTTGCTGCCGTGATATTAATCCCGACCACTGCATCCCCACGGCTAGGCGACCTGTATGTTAAATTTGTGTTGATAGGGCAGCGGATTATGCTATAAATCATATGTCAGAGTTTTTGTGCACTGATTGCAATGGTTAGATGATACCAAAAATATTTTCATAAATAGGAGATCTTTACCTAGTAAATTTTCATGAAAAATCCGCTGTACGTAGGTATATCAGAGCTTTCTTATATTTGTTCATCAATTTGATGATACAACCCATCTGCCAAAGATGATCATAATCAGGATAGTAAACTATGAGGAAGGTCCACTGTATGTATGAATTTTCAGATACTTCATTTGAAATTTGAAGATACAACAGACCATGATGGTGTTCACACTTTCCAAATATTCTTCAAGAAGTGATATCAGTCTAGCTCCAACTATCATAAGTACTATGTTTGTGTTCCTAATTTAAATTCAAAACTAGCAAATGTAAAAGATTCATCTCGCACCCTCCACCACGGGACGTCATCGTCGTTAGACTTGGCAACCCTGCGAGTGACAGATAGATATCCCCGCCAGTGAAAAAGGCACCCAAACAAGAAAGAAACATTATTATTGCTTATGATTTTTGGAGTTAGAAGACATATTTGTGAGAAATTTATCATAATGTTTTGTCAGTGTCCATAGTAATTGCATTATGCATCACGGAGATGTAGGGATTGACACGTCTTACACATATTCAGGTCAATTCTGTTTGCATCTGGCCTAACATATTGCTATCTTAACCATATTGCTCGAACTGAAACTATTAACAAGACTGTTTACCAAATTCATATTCTGTTCACTACCCTTTGGCAAGTATTGCTAGGAGTTTCTAGAGCTAGCAATGTTGTTACAGATAAAGATATCACGTGAGCATTTCAGTTGATGCTAATCTTGGCAACACTGGCGAAATCTGTCATCTTCTTACATTTTTCTGTTCTCTGTCAAATCCTGTCTTGTCACCCTTGTCATATCCGACCGGTCATAACCTCATTTTATAACACGTTTATAACCGACTGCGACTAAATTATTTCTTTGCTGCCAACCTGTGCCTTGTTCCTTGTATTGTTGTATACAATTCGTCATGGCGAACTCAAGGAGCAAACGAACCAATAAAGATCAAATGGAGATGATAATCAATTTTCTTGGGGAAAACCGGGTACTTGTCACACAAAAAATGCACCCGTTGAACACGGGTGACTGTGAACCTTTGTGGGATGAATTGACCGAGAAGTTGAACTCTGTGGAGAACGGTGCAAGAAAAGATAAGAAACAATGGAAAACTGTAAGTACCTAATCGTATTATCGAAATACTAAAGATAAAAAGATGTTCATTATTATCATAATATTCTTTTAGTTTCTGTACGAGTGGAAATCAAAAACTAAGAAGAAGGCCCGTATCCATAAGGCTTCCATCATGAAAACGGGAGGTGGTGGCTACACTTGTAAAGACCTGACAGATTTGGAAAACCGACTGTTGAATGTATTAGGGGGTTGGATTCATGTACTAGGATGCCCCAGTTTAACAAATATTGAGCCTGGACTACCTGCAGGACTTGAATTAATGGATCAAGATGTCACTGAGATACAAGAAGGTGCAATAGAGCAGCATGAAGCTGAAAGAGAAGAAGAAAATATCGATGAGATATCTACACCAATACCATCACAAACACCAAGACGTGGAACAGGTAGGTTGTTAGTATAATGCTAATATGGTATCGCTAAGGGGCATCCGCTCTTAAAATTCCAAGGGAATATCAACCTGTTTGTGTAATTTGGTAGCCTACTATTTGCAAAATGTTTTTTTTTATTGGTGCCTTAAAAATAAAGGAGCAAAGCATTCACATGTTAAGCTTGCACTAGTTTAGTTATTCCACTTGATGAAATTTAATTCATACAAAAAATATTTTGTTTCCTAACTTTCTTAGAAGTTAAGTTTGCTTGAACTATACAATTTTTTACAAAGATATGTTGTTTGAATAATCAACTGTCTCTCATTCAGGAGAGAATTATTTTCTGACAAGAAGTTACAAGTGATTCACTGACCAAAATATGATTTAAACAAATAACTTGATTATTTAGTTGATTTTTTATACCAAGCTATATATACATGTATGTTCTGACTGTTCTTATCAAGTGTATTGTTTTTGCAGCTCCAAGGAAGAAACAAAAGAGACCGCATGTACAGAGCACACAGCTGCACGAAGCAGCTGAACTTTATGCACAAAGCACCAGCGAAATGGCTGAAGCTGTGAAGGTGATGGCTGGTGCAATATCACAGTTAGCTCAAGGGCTATCTGATATAGCAATTGCTCTAAGCAACACATCAAAAACCTGATGTCATGTAATAAAAATGAAAATACTAAAATCTGCATTAAATATTTATTTTAGAGAACATTTTCTTACATAATTCACCTGATCGCAGTAGACAACTGATTTACAAGTTGCTGGCGAATAAACCTGCCCTCTGTGAGAAAATCATTACTTGGAATTGCAGCATCATCAGGATGGCTGCTGTCAGTAGTCTGATCAGTGTTGTCATGAGAGTCGCCATTATCTTCATACTCTTGTTCTGCATTATATATTCTGCAAATATTATGCAAAACAGCACAAGCATAAATTATCATGCCACTTGTATCATGAGAATAATGAAGAACCCTGTCTTTCCTTAAACATCTAAAACGGGCTTTCCAAATACCAAAGCCCCTTTCAACCACATTGCGTGTGTTGATATGTATACTGTTATAGTGAGCTTCGGGGCTTATTAGCTCTTGTTTCGAGGATTGGTGTCATCAGCCACGGCTGGAGAGGATATCCTGAATCACCAAGTAGGTAGCAGTTTCGTCTTCCATCTTCATATTTTTGCTTAAGATGTCTCTGTATGTTTGAAGAGTCCCATATTGCTGCATCATGGACTGCTCCAGGATACTTCGCATTTACGTTAGTAATCATTAGGTGAGAGTCGAAAATCTGTAAAATATTGCGAATTTATGTTCTCAGTCAAGGCTTAACAAAAAATGAACTTACTGCCTGAACATTTACACTGTGGAACCCTTTTCTATTAATATATGCTACTGATGGATTAATAGGATCATCTGTTTTGGGTGGCACTATCGCAATATGTGTACAATCGATAACGCCTACAACATTTGGGAATTGATGATTCTCTAAAAATCTGAAAATTGAAAAACTCATGATATGATGTGGCCATTATGTAGAGAAAATACCTACATACCCGTCTTTGACTCTCCTAACTTCTTCTGAAGTTGTTGGAAACCTGATATATCGAGGTGACAAATGTAATGCAATTAGTCTGCTTATTTTGTTTATAAGTCTGCTCATTACAGCTTGGCTGATTCCGATATTAAAGTCGTGTCCTACGGTTGTTTGATAACCGCCATGGGCATAAAATAATAAACTTGAAAAGACCTGAAAATAATTTGTTGAAGATTCATAGAGAAAATAGATTCTATTTAGAATGAATTGTGAAACGTTACAAATTCATATTACATATCAGTTTGATTATACACATATATGTACTATTACTAATCATTATTATTATTATAGTAAAATGTTGATTATTTTGTTACCTGCAGATGAAAAGGTACTGTGTCTCTTCTGGTAGGTTCATCAACGTATCCTTGTAGCTGAGTAATTAGATCCGTTGCTGCTACTTTATTCAGACGAAACAATTTTTTGAACTTGTCTTCAGCAATTTCAAACGGATTACTTGCGTCTCTGATATTTCGGAAGTGCAAGCGTAAACTTCGACTGCAATGTTTGTTGGTCATGAAGTTACACAAATAAAAAACTGTATGTTAATCCTCTTACCTAACTAGAACGTTTTCAAATGTATGGCGAAAGTTTACATCAAAATTCACAAAAACCGGATTGACGGCCATTTTTCTGCAATAACAATGTTGTTACATTGATAGCAAGTACTTAAATACTATTTGCCGAGATAACAAGATCGAAAAACAAGAACTATTCAAAATGACAGATCATCTGGCTAAAATATATTGAACAGAATAGGACAATCGCAAACATTGTTAAATCATAGCAAGATCTCTTCATAATAACAAGTAACAATATTGCTATAGCTAAACAGAATTGGCCTGATTATCTGTGTTTTAGGATGGAGAGGACATAATGTTTTTATTGCTTTGAAGAAATTCATTAACCCATAAATTAATACATGATTACTATTATGATGTACAGGAAGATGAGGAATTGGATGGAAAGTATTTTATATTCTATTTTCTTGCAGAATACAGACAAATCCACACTATTCAACAGGTATATAGCTATAAGGATAACATAAACACTCAGTATATTGAACGTAACAAATTCCAGATTGCCATGAATTAAAAAACGTCCAAACCTGCTGTTGAATTTAACAGCTAGAAAATCGACCTATTATTTGCCGCATTCTCATTGGCTTTGGGGATAACGGATTGTTAAATGTAAATTTATAACAGAAATCAAAATACATGAAAGTTGTCTTGTTTTCTCTGTGCAAAAGCCTCATGTTGGAATCACAAAGTGGTATTGTTTATAATACAGTCGAATTTTCACGATTCTAGTCATTATTTTAATAGAAATCACTAATATTCAGAGACCTTTGACAGCTTCCGTCAAATTGCATTTCGATAAGGGATTTTCCCATTGGTCCAAGGGACCGTTAAATATTAATGTTGGTGAAATTGGCCCTTATACACGCTTCCAATCCAGATAATTCTAGACACCTATTAGTTATATTTTATACAAAGATTTTCCCGTATATTTGACTTCGAATAGAATGACTACTGATAATCATTCCTGTAGCAACGTTGCCGTTACTTGTCGCATGGCTGGGAGCTGGGGACGAATATGACGGACTTGATCTATTTCATCCATTTGTTATATATACATGTTTATAGTTTACTTTTTTTCTGAAATAAGCTAAATTATGCTGAACATTACTTATTTACGAACTGATCATAGCATTGCGTGGGAAGTGTAGAGTCAACGTACTTGACGCCATTTTTCAATGACCAATCTAAATGTATAACAAAAATAGGACAATCGATTCCAAAAATGCATTTTTAATGAATGATTCATTAATGGATCACCCTGCATAATAATATGTAAGTATTTCAGAAATGGTTCATCTTGTGTCGTGTACAATAACTTATTAATAGTTTTATCAAAAAATCGATTGGTCAACCATGTATAGCACTATAGCTACGGTAATACGCTAGCTATGCTCTCGGGCTTTTTAGGGGAAGGTTTAAACAATGAGGACTAGATATAGGAGGTTAAACTATCTAAAGGAAGACACGTATTTGTATGCAGCCAATAATGTCTGAAAGAAGGGTGTGGCTCTAGGAAATGTAGTGCATGTATATATGCACACGAGAGAGAGAGAGCGAGAGAGAGAGAGAGAGAGAGAGAGGCGCCACATACGCAGTTACTCAGAGTAACTCAACAGAAAATCAGCTCTTTTCAACCGAGTTTTTGAGCACTGAATATGGCAATTTTTAATGTTTTTTAGACTGTAACTCGAAAAACGTCTATAAGAAAAGTTACTCAAAGCCTTTTTCGTTCAGAATGAATAAATAGCCCAAAGTAGGTAACTTTATCCGGAGCAAAAATACATTTTTTTGTTTGTTTTAGGTTACCGCCCGGAAACCATTTTATTTATGCTGAAGATCCTCCACGAAAGAATCGATTTAGAAAATTTTACCTACGAATGCGAGGTTTTCGCCCTAGCTAACTCGTCCTCATTGAGCCCCGTGATATCCAGTGCTCCCGTGCTACGCCTCTCAATCCTGTATGGTAAATAGTGCTAACTACAGGTAGCAAGAAGCACTGAACGCTAATGGCGATTTTATTGTGTCAACAACCCGCGAGTGTACAACGGAAGAACGAACTAACTGCGCGAGCAGCCATTGGAAACAAAGAAAACGACGAAACGATGAGCTAAGCGACAAGTTGATACCGCACTGCACCGCCGCTGCCGTTTTGACGCCTTGCGGAATGGTACATTGTTGGCAGTCTGAATTGAATTTATAGAAGTGTTTTCAGAAAAAGAGTGAATTCAACACTCCTTGATCACCGAATTAAAGTATGTACGCAAGAGCGAGTAGCAGGTACGTTACTGATACGCAGCCCCCTTGACATTATCCTGGGAATGTCACCACTGGATGCCTGAATAAAGCCGGAGGCCATGACACCATGCCTAAGGATACGCGACGAGGCCAGATGGGCGATACAAGAACCGGTGCACATAGGAGTATTTGACCGATTTGGCTGGCCAAAATTATTTCGTTGGTGAACATTATTGAATGCGTTATATTTCGTGTATGATTAAGTTATATAAATAAAATAGTTATATACAGTTAGAGTACAGTAAATTCAAATTTTATTTAATGGGAAAAATATAGATATACAATTATTAAGATAATTACAGCGATGAGTGCCACGATTCTTCATCAGATTCCTCTTCTGCTACTTCCGTGGATTCTTCAGTGTCCGAATCATTTATCGGGTTAGGATCAGCTGGAAGCAACATATCAATGGCTGCTTTTGAGTATGGTTTAGTTGTCTTTTTCGGCTTTGGCCTTATACTACTCAAGAGAGGATCCGAGCTTAGCAACAACCTGTTGAATACATCAAGGTTGCACGCCTCCCTTGAAAATTTCCTAGCAAAGTTTTGACGGTACAGCCTAACATGCTTATTTCGTGCTTCTGCGGTTTCTTCTGATAGCAACCCGATAGGTAATAATGCATTTTCCATTACAGTTGCACCATGAACAAGGATTTTATGCATTGTGGGTGACATAGGCTGCCATGGATAAGTTTAATGTAAAGTTTAGCAGTTTGAAAACCATAGTCTGAAAATTTTTCGCAGTTGACCTGATGACCACTTGATATAACCTGTAAGATTACTTTGAGTCTATAAATAAGTTCGAAATTGACCCCTGTTATGTCGGCTGCTAGTTGTGGGTTGGCAAAGAATCTTCTGCTGGTATTACCGTCATTAGTGTTTCCAAAACCAACTTTTGGTACGTATACTATTAAACCAGTTTCCCTTCTAAATGCTTCTTGTATTGTTGCTGTTCTTTGTTTTACAAGAGCTTTGTCCTTATCTGACCTTATTTGCCATTTCTTCACAGAAAGTTTATAGGACAGGTGTAATATGCTTTCAAATACCCCGATCCTGACATGCAATAATGATAATCCAAACCTTAACGTTTCTGTATTAATATCCCTCTTGATGGTTAATCATTGAGCTGCCTAGATCTTGCCCCACAAATGTAGCATCTCATTGTTGATGTGTAGCAGCATTGCATACTTTACCATCCACCATGGTTAATTTCATTATATGCTTTACCGAACAGGATTTCACTCCCATTGTAAATTCAGTATTATGTAATGTATTTATAGCAGTTTCTATACAACTATCTGCAGACTCTTTGACAAATCTTATTCTAATCGGGCGACAGTAACGAGGCGGAGATGGTGTCGGGTTTTGCCAAATTATTTTTTTTATTTGTAACGCAAGCTAACTGAAGTGGTACGAAGCAACTTTGGAAAATATTGGCATCTGTAGCATTATTTTCCATTTTTTGTTTAAATTAAGCTTGATGTGAACCATCACAACCCCACTTACAAATCAACACTAACGTGCTGCATTATTCTAGATCAAAATCATTTAAAACTTCTCCCAAATACGTTAACAGTCGTGTTACGGTATGATCTAGCAAGTGTTGTAAATTTGCATCAGCACTCGTCTCAGTCACCTGATACGATGGTTTAGGTGGGTAACACTTGGATAGTATTTTTTGTTTGTACTCCTAATTATTTCATACTGCCGCTTTGAAGGTCAGCTTCAACAAACAGTGATAGCGCTTGTAATGGTGTAAGTTGTTGTTCATTATCCTGCAGGGACTTACGAAAAGCCTTTTTGTATTTCTCAGCACGCTTCGGACATTTAGTTAGGTCTTTAAGTACAGTTGAGGCATCCCTCTGACCAGAAGTTTGTAATAATGTCTGAGCTGCTTGCACCAATACATCTGTATTCATCGCACTTCGAATCGATTTTGTTTTTCTGCGTTTGGTCCTCTCAGAAGATTCGGAAAATGTTTTTTGCGGTCGACCAGAACGCTGCTGCTTACCTTTTGGGATCGAGAAACGTTCTTGTAACCATTTGTCATTATTTTTCAAGAACACATCCTCTTTTTTATGAGCTCTTATCCACCTCTGCTTGAACTCAGATTTCAAATATGAAAATGTATGCTTCATCTCTTCAATTTCTTCATCGGAATAATCGTTACACAATAAAAGGTCGTTTGCGACATATTCCAATTTTTCGTTGAAATTAGGTAGGTCTTGTTGTTGCATCCTATCGAATAAAGATTTTCGAGTAACTAGTGTAGTGTTGGAACCACCTGGTAACCCTGAAATGAAGTAAAAACGAATTTATGTTAAAATGGATTCAAACAGGACAACACTATTATCTATATCTTATTATTTAATAACTCTAAATCACGAAAAACCCTATCCGCAGCTGATTTTTAAATAGTTTGAATGCAAAAGAGCTATCCTGTTTGATATATCAAAAAATATAGCAGGGACGCACCCTCAAATGTACTTTATGCTTTTCTGATCATAATGTAAACGTTAAAAAGTATTTAAATAAAAGCTATTATTCCCAATGCTCTTATTGTTAATAAAGTAATGATAAAACAATACGATTACTTAAAATATATGCAGTCTTACCTGAATTTTCAGAATCCATTAAAATTTCTTGCAATATTTACAGCCACACAGACAATATTCACAGTTAAAACGTAACTATACACAAACAATGGTGATAAACAATAGGTAACACCCACGACGACGTCTAGATTTCAACTGAAATCCTAACACGGATTAGGGTAGCAGGTACCGGAGAGGGGTTGTACCAGAATCAACAACTATTTAGCTTGCTTGGGGTAGTACTTATACTCAAATGCGAATGGATTGACAAAATTGAGTTTTGGTCAGCTAAATAGGTCAAATACTACTATGTGCGGTGGTTAGTCATTCCAAAAACGTGGGTAGGAAGGAGAGCAATCTCCACATATCTTCGGTAGTAGCATATTCATAAGCAGGCCTAAGACCAGTGGTAACCCCGAGGACAAGGTCACTCTTAGTTCAGGAATGTACTACGGCTCTTTAGAGTTTATTTAGCCTGATCCAAAGAAGTGGATCCCCAGACAAAGCGGAGGCCGGCCAACGAGAATGCTGGTCGCTGGGGGGCTAGAAGCACCTGCATCGGTCCCGAGCCTAGGCTGAGCGAAAGCAGGAGCCAGATCAATACCGCCCTGAATGAATGGGCATATCAGGACCGGAGAAAAGCGTGGCAAGAGAGACATGACTGCAGAAAGGGCAAGAGGATGGTAACAGACAACGACAAACGTCGGCGCGCTCGCTACTGGGCAGGGGTAGAGAATCGCTCAACCTTTTGGTTGCGGTTTTCCCTGCCCCATGTGCTGGGAGGAGAACGGAACAACTTTCTGGGCTATTGCACCATGTATTGCGGTCTAAGTGCTGAGATATTCGGGGCCATGTAGTTTGATGGCGAAGTTGTATATTTAGCGGAATGGTCGGACATACTGACCTTTATTAGATCAGCAATGTTCGACAGATTTGCCAACTAGCATGTGGAGTAGAGTATTTGTACACTCGGGGTCGGCCGCCAAAAACCGTGAAAAGAACTATATAACTTATTTATTTGTACAATTACTCATGAAGGACATGGTGACTACACGTAATTATATACTTTACAAAAATATGACATCAAAATGAAAAAGGAGGATCATAGAGAGATTAGATTATGTTTAACTTTCAAACGTAGCGTGTTTAATTCAGAAAACAATCCAAGTTCAGACCGGCCTCACCAAGTAACCGAAAAGTACGTAGAACGCGAATCACAGATAGACAGCTGACAGAAACGGAATATGAAGTATGGATCAAATGATATGTGATTATTTAGAAGTTCGGAAACGTTTTACCCGTTTGGATACCCCACACATAACACGTCAAGACGTGGCGGAATAAATGTTGAAAGGATTTGATTCTGGAGAGAACAGTAATGTGATTTAAGCATCCCGAGTGACACGGTCGATTGGAAAAAGAGTGGTCGTGCCGTAATCAAAAAATCAGATTTAGTGGCAAACATTGTGCTTGATAATTGGAAGATATCCACAGCTAAATTCCTACCAATATTATAAATGAGAAATTTGCTACAGGAATATCGTATTCTCTGGAATAGCTCATAGGCTACTTATTTATTCCGGGAAATAACTTTGGGCAACAACGGCCTAATGGGATTAAACATGAGGTATCTGGCACAGAAGAGCTCAATCACCGATGCGAAGTTTTCAGACGAAATTTAGCAGACAATTTGCCGAAGATACCCGAATGACCAGTGGCGTCGACACCCTAGAGCAGGTTGTGATTGTGAAGGATACAGCTAAGAACTCGCAACAATAAATACATATTAGCCAGAAAGAAATATTCAAAGCACGAGAATAAGCACCCTTATAGGGAGAATCATTTTCCACCGAAATTAAATATTTAGCCGAGAGAAAACCTAACCCAAAACCTTTCTTCGAATAAGTTTAATTCACGGATTATTGTATATATGGTATTGAACGTAATTAATGAGCTAAACGCATATGGCGAGAAATCTTCTGGAGAGGTGGCAAATAAAAACAATATAAATAAAAATCTGCTGCCCATTCAGAAGCATTATAAGTAGATGCCATCTAGCCTATCTTTATATGTACCTTCTTTAATATAGAGTATTTTTTGAGGTACAACTTATTTCGGGGAATAATTGCCTTGGAGGTCAAAATAGATTGTTATTTATATAACTGCCATCCCTTCAGAAGCTTTTTCACACCATGTCGCCTAACCTATAAATTGTCTCCATAATATTTTTTTTAAAAATGAATTTGAATCTCATATCTTTTATCTGCCACCCCTTTAGAAGTTTTCTCGTATCATGCCACCTAGCCTATAAATCGTCTTTAATATAAAGAATTTTTTGAGGTACAAGTAATTTTCTGGGATCATTTCTTTGGAGGTGAAAATTAATTTTTATTTATATTTTTTATTTGTCACCCATTCAGAGGTATTCTCACACTATGCCACCTAGCATTTAAATTGTCTCTATAATAGAGTATTTTTACGAGGTGCAACTCGTTTTGGGGAGTCATTTCTATGGGGGAGAAAATGAATGTCTATTTATATTTTTTCAGAGATTTTTTCACTATATGCGTTTTAGCTCAATTACCTTCAATACCATATACAAGATAAGGATCCTCTGCATAAGAAATATCAAAAAGCTAATGGACCTTTTCATTGGTACTTTTTAAGCACTACACTTTATATTTTGTGCCCGACGTTTTTGAGATACATCATCAACTTTATGTTTCTATATGGCCCGCAAAAAAAGTCACACCGTGTATATGATGTCTGGGTACTTTTTTACCCGCAGATTTTCTTGAGCCCAGTAATGAGTGTTGTGGCGATTAAAGATACTAATATTAGTAACCATACTCTCGACCGACCATATTATTTTTGAAGGAACTCTTCTTTCCACATTCATGTGTACCAATCACAAAAATGGTGGCGCCGTTCGCTATCCCCTGGTCTAAGTCCTTGGCAAATCCTGAATTTAGAACGATAACGCAAAATAAATTGAGCTGTGGATTTGGCTACTCCTACATTTTTCTCAATTTGCAGAGTTTGTATCTCGGAGCTCTCGACGACTGCTTGTAAACATTTTCGCTAACACGGTTTTTTAATGAACCAAATTCATTTAAATTTCGAGCCAATTCTGACTAAATGGACTTACTTGGCTGCCTTTTTTTGGGAAATTTATCAACATATATTTCTGCAGTATTTTTAGTATTTTTGTAGCACAAAATGTAGCACGTTCTTCATTGCTAAAATGACCGCCTGGTATCTTTGACGATAATAAAGGAATGTTGACAATATACAATAATCATAATACTCGGTGCCAGGTATTTACGTAAGCCTTTGTTTGCAACGCCTACTTAAAAAAATAAAAGAAATCAGAACAACTGCGTTTTTCCTTATAACCAAGAAAATAAATGTGATACGTCTTAGAATAAGTATAAAAATGCTACTAGATACAGAGTGTACTTCTTTTTCGGACCATATAAAAAATTAAGTTGATGATGGTTTCTCAAAAGAGAACCGTCGCCCACAAAATTTTAAAAAAATAACCATGCAGTGCCTAAAAAGTGCCAATAGAAAAATTTAATCAGTTTTTTGAAAATAAAAATGACTTGGGAAATCTTAGTTATCCCAAATTTCTCAGTAAGCCATGCCATTCTTACACGTTTCTCAACGGCATGTAGATACGCCCCAAAGAACGCATCTTTTTCCTAATTTAACCTAGGCTTTATCTCCCACTTGTATTGAGATCCGTATACAATAATCCGTAAGTTAAATTTATTCAAATAAAGGTTTTGGGATAGTTTTTGTCCGGCGAATTATTCAATTAGGATAGAAAATGATTCTCCCTTATAAGGTGCTTATTCTCGAGCTTTGAATACATATTTCTTTCTGGCTAATATGTATTTATTGTCCCGGGTTCTTAGCTGTTCCCGTCACAATCACAGATTGTTCTAGGATGTCGACGCCACTGGTCTTTCGGGTATCTTTGGTAAATTGTCTGATACAATGGGTGATATGCATAAAGGTGAGTGGGTTCTCAGAAGTAGCGACTCCATATTGTAGCGAGTAATTACTCCTGTTAGGGAGAGCCTACTCGGTTTTGATATGCATAAAATATTTGTCCAGAAACGGAGAGGCTCCTCAAGTGCTAATGAAATACTTGAGTAGGCACTCTGGTTTTCGAGTTCCGACTTGTATTTTGTTGTCTCGCCGAATTGGCAATTTCTCTATTGCGAGCAGTTACTACTGTATACCGGTAAACGTTTGTGTCGGTGGTGTGTAGGTCGATTATTATTTGTTCATTTACATGATGTCAACCAATTCTGAAGACCATTCATCTGAAAATCAAACAGTATTTGTTAATATAATTAAACAGTATCCTGTTTTGTTGGAAAAATTAACATCCCGGAAATCAAAAATAAACGACGTAAGACGGTTGAAGAAATAAAAGAAAAGGTAGAAGCCGAATCAGGAGTTAAATATAATGAAGGGCAGATTTGGAAGAAGATTCAAAACATAAAAACCAGATTATAAGCGAAGACAGACAGAAATCAAACCGGAAACAAACCAATAAAATTGAAAGGATGGGAACAAGAACTGTTCAATTTTCTACAAGGAGATTCAAATCCTAGTAATGCTCGATTGCAATGTTAGTTGTATTTTTTGTTTTTCCATACAGTAGGTATAAGATGTGATTGAGTATAATATATATACATGTCAATAAATATAAATAGCATATATTTTAAATTTTAGGTGCTGTTGTGGCAGGTTGCCCACAAAAAATCGTTGATTACACTCCAACAGCCTGTTCTAAAGAAGAAACAATCACCGAAGAAGCATCTGGAAGTTCAAGACCAGTACTGAAAACTACCACAATGAAAGCCGGACCCAGGACCCAGTAAGGAGCCTTCTAAAAAAAAGGAAAACGAGGATTAGTGGAAACCGATGAAACACGGAATTTATCAATAACAGAGCTCCAACGTCTCATTTTACTTGAACAACTACAAGTGTTTTGGCTAGCTAAGGAACTGCTACTTCACAAGGAAAATATTAATGAATCTGATCCAAATTTATCAACTTTAAATGAATGTGCAGAAACTGGAAATCTAATTTTCATGAACCTATTTCCAGGACAGAACTGACAGATATACTTCATGTTTCATAAATGGTATTTTTTATTAATTTTAAGAACTTTCTCTTACGTTAAAATTTTGAAAGTGTTATTAATTTTGTTATAAGTAATTAAACATCCTTCTTCAACATATATCTACATAATTTGTAAATTTGAATGAACATGAATAATTCTTGATATTGCATCTGTTCTGAATTGACCTCTCTGGCTGCATAGTCGGCAGCATGTTGATTATGGATTTCTTCATCATTAAGGTGCTTAGCCACATTATGCAAGATAAAACAACTCATGACAAGGGTCGGCACTTTTTCTGTATCGACGCGTATTTTGTTATGTAGAATGGGAAAACGCTGTTTTAGTTGCCCGAAACATCTCTCTATTATAACTCGCTCTCTCGTAAACAGCCCATTGTATGATCTTTGTTCTGCTGTTTCTGCAATCCTAAAAGGAGTCATGAGCCAAGGAGCTATACCATACCCACAATCTCTCAACAAAACAGCCCTAGCCCTATTCCATTTGATAACGTTGTATATATCAGAATTCTTCTATATCCAAGAGTTGTGTACAGATCCTGGCCAAGAAACATCCACACTTGTGAACTCTTCGTTTGAATTGCACGTTGCTTGTACATTTATTCTAGCAAAGTTCTTTCTGTTCACATATTCGTCTGCATGAATAAACGGCTTCAGAATAGGTATATTGGTGCAGTCGATAGCACCAATAGCTGAAGGAAAATTGAACTTTTCTTGCCACTTATTTTTAGCATTGTGTAGATCTTCACATGAGGTTGGGAATCTAATCCAAATATTCGACTTCTGCACAATGCGTGTTATAACATTGGTAACGGTTCGGGATACCGTAGATTGATGGACACCAATATCTTCTCCTATGCCAATTTGAAATCTTGGATCACCCACATATCGTAAAGAAACCCACCTTTATGCATATCACCCAATGGGTGATATGCATAAAGGCGAGTGGGTTCTCAGAAGTAGCGACTCCATATTGTAGCGAGTAACTACTCCTGTTAGGGAGAGCATACTCGGTTTTAATATGCATAAAATATTTGTCGAGAAACGGAGAGGCTACTCAAGTGCTAATGAAATACTTGAGTAGGCACTCTGGTTTTCGAGTTCCGACTTGTATTTTGTTGTCTCGTCGAATTGGCAATTTCTCTATTGCGAGCAGTTACTACTGTATACCGGTAAACGTTTGTGTCGGTGGTGTTTAGGACGATTATTATTTGTTCATTTACATGATGTCAACCTATTCTGAAGACCATTCATCTGAAAATCAAACAGTATTGTTGATATAATTAAACAGTATCCTGTTTTGTTGGAAAAATCTAACATCCCGGAAATCAAAAATAAACGACGTAAGGCGGCTGAAGAAATAAAAGAAAAGGTAGAAGCCGAATTAGGAGTTAAATATAATGAAGGGGAGATTTGGAAGAAGATTCAAAACATAAAAACCAGATTAAAAGCGAAGACAGACAGATATCAAACCGGAAACAAACCAATAAAATTGAAAGGATGGGAACAAGAACTGTTCAATTTTCTACAAGGAGAACCAAATCCTAGTATTGCTCGATTGCAATGTTAGTTGTATTTTTTTGTTTTTCCATACAGTAGGTATAAGATGTGATTGAGTATAATATATATATATACAGGGTGACTTCGAAGTTGAGTCATTTATTTTAACAGTGAGTAGATATGATCAAAAGAAATGTTTTTTTCCTTTACCATTTTTCTGGTAAAATTAAAGTAACAAAGTTATAGCCCTTTGGAAGTTTGAGTACCGCCCTGTCTCAATAATATCATGTACTCGTGTTTGGCAACAACGGATATAATCCACCTTATCGGTTCATCGCATCGGAAACAAAAAAGCGAAAGAATTTGGAACGATGTTTATTTTATTCAGTTCAGTTATACATACAGTCGCGTGTGAATAGTGTCTGTTGCGTGGCTCAAACGAAATAAAAAATGGCACATGTTTATGCGGATCGGTTTCCCAATCGAGTGCAACCAACCCCTCGTGCCTTTGTTAATGTAGTACAACGGGCTCGTGAATCAGGTGACTTCAGACCTCACAGGGGACCTCACGATCAAATACAGGTCCGCACTGAAATACTTGTCGGGAGGATACTTTATAAAACAAGGTAAAAATTTTTTTTTATATTTTTTTTATTTTTATACACATATTTTGGTTTATCTTCCTTCTACAATCATTATCTGAAAATTAATGACTCAACTTCAAAGTCACCCTGTATATACATGTCAATAAATATAAATAGCATATATTTTAAATTTTAGGTGCTGTTGTGGCAGGTTGCCCACAAAAAAGCGTTGATTACACTACAACAGCCTGTGCTGAAGAAGAAACAATCACCGAAGAAGCATCTGGAAGTTCTGGACCAGTACTGAAAGCTACCACAATGAAAGCTGGACCCAGTAAGGAGCCTTCTAAAAAAAAGGAAAACGAGGATTAGTGGAAACTGATGAAGCACGAGATTTATCAATAACAGAGCTCCAACGTCTCGTTTTACTTGAACAAATACAAGTGTTTCGGCTAGCTAAGGAACTGCTACTTCACAAGAAAAATATTAATGAATCTGATCCAAATTTATCAACTTTAAATGAAAGTGCAGAAACTGGAAATCCAATTTTCATGAGCCTATTTCTAGGACAGGACTGACAAAAGTACTTCATGTTTCATAAATCTTATTTTTTATTAATTTTAAGAACTTTCTCTTAAGTTGCCATTTTGAAAGTGTTATTAATTTAATTTTTGTTATGAGTAATTAAACATCGTTCTTCAACGTATATCTACATAATTTGTAAATTTGGATCATGCTAGATACTTACTTAGACCCGACAGCCATGAATAATTCTTGATATTGCATCTCTTCTAAATTGATCTCTCTGACGTATCACTCCATCTGCATAGTCAGCAGCATGTTGATTATGGATTTCTTCTTGTTCGCCATCTCCCGGTATATCAACAGCAAAATCTTCATCATTAAGGTGCTTAGCCACATTATGCAAGATAAAACAACTCAGAGAGGGCACTTTTTCTGTATCGACGCGTATTTTGTTATGTAGAATGGGAAATCGCTGTTTTAGTTGCCCGGAACATCTCTCTATTATAACTCGCTCTCTCGTAAACAGCCGATTGTATGATCTTTGTTCTGCTGTTTCTGCAATCCTAAAAGAAGTCATGAGCCAAGGAGCTATAACATACCCAGAGTCTCCCAACAAAACAGCACTAGCCCTATACCATTTCATATATCAGAATTCTTCCATATCCGAGAGTCGTGTACAGATCCTGGCCAAGAAACATCCACACTTGTGAACTCTTCGTTTGAATTGCACGTTGCTTGTACATTTATACTAGCAAAGTTCTTTCTGTTCACATATTCGTCTGCATGAATAAACGGGTTCAGAATCGGTATATGGGTGCAGTCGATAGCACCAATAGCTGAAGGAAAATTGAACTTCTCTTGCCACTCATTTTTAGCATTGTGTAGATCTTCAAATGTGGTTGGGAATCTAACCCAAATGTTCGACTTCTGCACAATGCGTGTTATAACGTTCGAAACGGTTCGGGATGCCGTAGATTGATGGACGCCAATAGCTTCTCCTATGACAATTTGAAATCCTGGATCACCCAAATATCGTAAAAAAACCCTCATTCTTTCTATATTGCTCAAAGCATCGCCCCTATATTCTTCTGTCTATCCAAAAAAATGGTTACTTATCCACTCAACATTAACTTTACTAAACCGATATAAGGCCGATAGTCTACTTCACTTGATTCCCTACGATCTTTAAACACCTTCGTAGGCTGATAAATAAGCATAAATTCGGCCATTTCGTCCACTTCTTATAAAGCTGAGTCTACTACTAAGGAATCTCGCATTTCTTCAAGTATGCACTCAGCGGTCAGAGTGGACGCTCACTTTTATGCATATAAAAATTGAAGTCGGCACTCAAGGAGCGAGTACAGCCTCACGGAAAGAGTAGAAACTTATGAGTGTGAGCTTCTACTAACATTTTTATGCATATCAAATGGAGTGGCTACTTTAAAAATGCGAGTCAAAAGTAGCCACTCTCCTTTATGCATATCACCCATTGTCTTCCAATTTCATACCGGTAGCTCAAGAACCGGTCCGACCGAAATGAGTAAGGGTATCAAAAAATAAAAGTTTAAAAAAACTGAAAGAACACGCTTTCATAGCTAACCGAACTAAAAATATTTAGCCTCACGTATTCTGGACATTCTGGACATACCGTGAAGCTTGATGTTGTAAACACTATACAGCATATCAAGAAAGCTACGGAACCTCCTTACTTATTTGAACAATATGGGTGCCATATCATCAATTCGCGTCTAAACTTACCATTAAAGAACCCGCACGCCACTGGTTTTGCCGGCATTTTAATTTTTGTTTATAATATATGACAGTGGTCGCCAACCTTTTCAGTGTGTTGAGCTACTTTGATAATTTTGGAATAAACAGTGATCCAACTTAAATGCAATTATACAGAGTTGTATGCCACATACATGCGTTTATTTTACTAATACTAATAAATACATTCTAATAAACTTAAATAAACTAATAACTAATACATATTACATAACTACATCCATTCCTACCAATTGTAGGTGTTTGAAAAATAAACAAAATCTTTCGTCTGCTACAATGGCATGTCACATACGATTTCATAAAGGTAACTAAAAATAAAAAAAGCACGCACTATTTTAAACAAAAAATGTCCAGACAAAGATGCGTGTTCAATGAGAAGCCTGACACTCAGACTCACTGACATTTTTTTCACTGTTTGGAGTATAATTTGATACTGCCATTCGAATACAATTATCCAAATGTTCATCTGTAAGTCGATTACGGTATTTTTTTTAATAAACTTTATATTTGAAAAACAAGATTGACACAAATAGGTTGAACTGAATAACGCTTTCACTTTCAAGGCAACACGACATAAAACTGGATATTTATCTGTACTTACTGAAGGCCAGCCACATTTTGTATCTGAGACTAATGATTTTAAACACACATACAACAAATCGCGCCACTACATCAATTTCGTTAAAATCCTTTAAACGATTTTTGCAGTTATCCTTCAAGTTAGAGACCATTTCTACACGATATTAACTGTCGTATGGTTCTAATGGATTTTGAGATATGTTTTCTGAAAGATCAGGAAAATGCCTGGTATCGCCATCGATTAAGTTTTGTTACAAAAACTCAAGCTTTTTGATAAACGCTGTTATATCAGAAATCATTTCTGCTAGTTCTTTGTCTCTCCCCGTAAGCTGCAAATTAAGTTCATTTAATTTTTCCGTAATATTCACAAGAAAACCAAAATCTCTAAGCCAGATTGAATTTTTCAGTTCCGGAATCGGTTCATCTCGTTGTTTGAAAAAATGAACTCTGGCAGATATATCATTAAAACGGCAGCACTCGTCCCCTAGTTAACTATCGGACTTCAGAGTGAAGAAGTAGTTCCCCGTATTGACAGTCAATTTCATCGGCCAAGGTATTGAATAATCTTCTCCACAATTTCTACTACCAACGTTGTTTAGTTTTAGAAAATGTCCACATAATGATTGGTTTGCTGATGGATAATGCAATGGTAACAGAGAAATTGCGGAAAACTTTCATCTTTACGACATAACCCCACGTGACCCTTATCACGACCCACCATAGTTGGAGCGCCATCGGTTGTCAAGCCTACCATCTTCGATATTGGAATTTTCTCAGAAGAAATAATGTTTTTAAAAGAAGAAAACAAGACCTGCTCAGTAGACTGTCTTTTTAGTGGAATAAACTTTAAAAGATCTTAGTTTTATAGTGCCTCTCGATATTTCTTTTTTTAGCAACGGAAACAGATGTATTACATAACATACATTTTTACCTTAAACTTCTGTAAAGAAATATTGTTCTTCCCATTCCGAATGGAAATGGTATGTCTTCATCTTCTTACTACTGCTCATAATGTTTTTAATTACAGGCCAACTCTAACCCAACCGCTGAACTTTCTACCGTTCAGTTTTAAACTGAGCGCACTGTTCAGAGTAATCGAGATCGTTATCGAACAGATCACTCACCACAGTGTTGCTGCTCTTTGTGTTTATTATGAGAATATACTTTAAGTTACGGAATGATTATTTTTACACCTTTTTAAAATGTGTTGTGAGCCACCAGAATTGCCGTTGAGCGCTATCGGTAGCTCGCGATTGACGGGCTGGCGACCACTTTTCTATGAGAAGGAAATGAAGCATATGGTACTCCTCCTTCTTCTCCTCATACTTCGTGTGTGAGGTTGCTGACGATTTGTGATATCTTCGTTGTTGAGACCACGTAATCCGAAATGCTTAACGATTTTGAGGAAAAAAAGGCCGACAATTCCAGAAGATAATAAGAATTTTACTCAAATTGATTGGTTTCACTATCACCAGTTTTGATTTTAACCAAACAGAAGAATCTAACATGGTATCACTAGGAGAAGTATAGCATGAAAACCAGTGACATGCATAGACAAGGTTCAATGAGCGGTAAGTTACGTATATATTATATGTATTCAATTAATGTTGTAATGAAGTGCCATAGCTTTCTTCACATGCTGAAGCGTGGAAATTTCTTAAGAGACAAAGTGTATGGACCCCCTACGTCCCTCGTATAGTTTAAGCCGGGAATCTCGTTGTGTTTATTGCTTATGATGTGCTCACTGAACATCTAAAATATCAAGTTAGTATCTTTACTCGCTACGTAAATATAATATTCTTTAGATTTCGTAAAACAAATTTCATCACCCTGCATCTCGGTAGCGGAACACATTTGGACCTATATTTACAGGAACTTTTTCACGCTAAAACGCTTGAACCGCATTTGAAAAATTTTAGCTTAGATATAGAATAGGCATTGGAGACAGAAATAGGCTACTTTTTATTGAGAAAATAAAACGTGAAGCGGTTGACGTAGTGGGTAAATGTTAGTATGGGAAACCCGTACAATCGATGCACGAAATTAAGGATGGACAGGACGGATGGGACCCTTCACAGAGACCTTAACATCCCTTGCCTAAGTGACTACATCAAAAATATCAGCACATCTACGGTATAGTCAAGCGGAATCGCATAGCAACCCTTTGTTGCGCGAGTCAGTAGACTACACAGTCGAGCAAGTTCGTAAGGTCACAAGGCCGCGGCTCGCAGTATGAACAGAATTAAATCGTGCTACTTTAGGTCCAACCAAAATTATAATATTTAATTTTTCTTCAACAACCACTCTCTAAATTAATTTTAGGATCAATTAAAATTTGCGGAATACTAGTTAGCAATGACAAGGTACCCTTCAAATTGACGCACTTCTTTTTCTTTGATCTCCCTCCCTCCTTGCTTTCTTTCTTCTTCCCTTCTCCCCGACTTTCTCTGGTATCTGGGCAACCAGACCTGACAGACCTACTGACTTACAAGACTTTAACCAAGAGCAAAGGTCTTACGGACCGCTCTGACAGACAATGACGAATAGAAAAAATGGAACGGATTTTGTGTCATGGTAAGATTAAGGGGAGCTAAGGGCAGATACATGCACCAGCGTTAATCACGAAGTCTCGAAAACATATTGCCTATGCAATTCGGCAGGAAGGTAGTTTATGAACAGGACATGTCACCTAAGACCATATTTTGCAATAGGGCCGGATTAAAGGAAGATAGAGGCATTTACAAGTTTGTACGAAATTCCTTTGTTTTTCTACTGAAGATAATATGGCAGCGAGTCTTACGCTTTGCGCCAGTTGCTGCGTTTGGCGCCAGTTGCTACGGGTGTGGCTGGTCGAGACGACGGAGTAATCGGTGATCAGCCGCCAACCAGTTTAGGAATGCCTATTATGTGCTGTAAAAAGTACTACTATACAATCGCCGTGACTACTCCCAGGTAGCGGCGTCAGGGAGTACAGTTCTATATGGAGTTCCGTGGTTCCACGGTGTCAAATTGTCAACCTGTCGAATTGCCTGTAGAAATTGTAAACAATGAAAGAAATTACAAAGTTCGGATTGAAACTATATACAGGGTGTCCGCAAAGTTGGGGGTTTCCTTTACACGACGTGTAGATCTTGAAAACATAAGCAATTTTTCTTAGTACCATATACACCAATGTCTTAAGAGAACCGAGATAAAGGGCCCTGCAACATCAAAAATATCTGAATACCGTCCTGTAGCCGCGACATCACCGACTGGTACAAGGTCACTGGCTCAACCCGACGACAGAACTGGGTCGGGGTCAGTGTGTCAGGTCAGTATGCAACCTTCAACCGACAGCAACGGTCACGCGTGTAGAGGTAATCGCGTAGACGAGAATCCCTCAACAAGCACTAGAGACGTGGCTAGAGAAGTGCAAGTATCAAAAACTAAAGTGTGGCAAACGCTGCGTGAAGAGGGGCTGTATCCGTTTCACGTCCGACGTGTACAAGCCCTTCAACCTGACGATTTTCCAGCAAGAGTGCGGTTTTGTGATTGGTTGTTGCATCAACATGACAATAATCCGGACTTTATTATGAAGTGCATATTGGTGACAGACGAATCTACGTTCACACGTAATAGGGTGAATAACTTTCGCAGCACTTATGTTTGTTCAGTAGAAAATCCGCACGCTGTCCGTCGGGCACATT